TTTTTTTTTTTTTATCCTGGATGCATATAATTTTTCACGAAATTCGAAAAACGGGTCGCTTGCAAGGCTCGTCATTCTGTCTCCCACACAGCGCCTGCTTAGGAGGGGGTGGAGGGTAATTTCCTAGTCGAGCGTATTACGTTATCTCAAAAAAATTCGTCGACGATTCTGGATCGTCTTGTTTTTGACAAGAAACATTTGCATAAGCTTTGTCAAGAAAAATTTGCATAAGCTTTCTCAAAAGACGATGATCTAAATATTCTTTTTCTTTGGCCATCGTAGCTCAATAAGAAATAACACGCAAACTGCGGTGATAAACATGCGTTTTATTGCCATGTTTATCACCGTAGTTTGCGCGTTATTTCTTATTAAGCTACGATGATCTAAGCTGCTTTGACCATCTTTGAGGTAATTCAGCAACATACCATCATGACGTCACCTCGATTACGTTCGTGGAGACAACACAGCTTTCTACATTTCATTATTTAGTGGTCAAAGTCTGAAAGCGTAAAGGATTATTTCCCATGTTTTGGTAAATTTCGTTAATATTTTAGACCTGTAATAAGTTACCAACGGATGACGCACGCAAATAGGGGAATCCCCGAGTCTATACAACCACGTGATCAATAAAAAGCCTCATAACAGTGTCGCAGAAATGTTGCACAATCAGTTTCGTCAGCCGTTGAACTCGACTCCGTCGGAATATTGCGTTCAAATACTGAATTAATCGACAGGAATACCTGCTTCCGAGAAATCAGTGGAATGAGCAAGCTCCAAAGTTGAATTTACTCTGAACGCAGAATTTACAAGGTGCTAGGTGTTTCTACGGAGTTAATTGCTGAGTTAGCATCTCTCTGTACTTCAGGTATATTTGATACAGAATAACAAATCCAATCACGTTGTCGATGCCATTTTTGAAATTTTGCTGTTATTTGATCTGGTATTTTCTGTTGGTTGCTTTACAGTATTCAAACTAACTTTTAACATGCTTTCCATACAGCCACCAGGGGTCAGTGTGTTACAGGTTGAAGACAAACGTATCCAGAACAGGCTGTAGAACAAGACATGAAGATCCTCGCCGAGGTAAGATTAATCTACGTGTTTTACCCTCAAACGTTATTGTTCGGTCAAAACATCGAAATCATCGCTCAACACTAGAAAAGAGTAACAATACACGATTGACAGAATTTGTAAATTTGGGGCTTATCGTCTTTTCGAACACGTAGCTTTTTAAAATGTTTACTTTTCTGCGGCCGCGGGTGTCGAACTCTACAGTTTAACCGAGACTGTATATTTGCAAGGTCATAAGCTAGATTTAACTCGTAACGTCTCAGATTCAAATCCTTAATCAATCAGTAGTCGACCGAGGACTTCTCGCGGAAAGCAGAATCTCAGAATAAGGGAACGTCAATATCATCATGTTATGCTAATTATAATCTTGCTTACAATTATTGATTGCTATAAAATCGATAATTCCTGTATTCAGGTATATCGATTGTTATATATTGACTGAAAAAAATACAAATAATTGAAATCACTAGAACACTGATTCTGTTGTTTATTCTACTTCATCTAAATGCCGATGCTACGATGAGACTGGAGAGTTTTACACTGCTACTCTAGCCTGAGCTTCTTCCGGTGTCATAAACTATCTAAGAAAGTTGTAAAGCCCAAAATGTTTCTGTTAGTTGTTTCTGTTCTTGTTATTTTGTTGATGATTAATGATTTTATAAAAGAAACGCAGGCCTTGAAGATAAAATGACTCAATGAAACCATTACAGAAAAATTTTGTTAATCATTTTATCAGACGAGTGTAACTTGTTAAAGGGCAAAAATAATTTCCGATAACAATCGATACCAATTATTGATGAATCAAACATTATCGATTACTATCAGCAATTGATAACAATCTGTCTAAAAACATTTTTCTTCACTGCTTTTCATTGATTGCTATCAATTGATCAATCGATTGCTATTAATCTTCATTGATTTTCATTGATTGTTATTGATTGATTTTGATTACAAATTTATCAATTGACTTTGCCTGGCCCCAGGGGAAGATGTACATGTATTATCTGTTACCGGGCTTATTGGTTTAATTAACTAATGTATTTACTTTTTTATTGTATAAATATAATTAATTATGCTATTGTTTTCCTTTTCAGGAAATTCTTGTACTGCTACAAGTGCTACCATGGATGATATTATCTGCCGTAGGAAAACCCTTAACAGGTTGTTCACAGACATCAGAAATTGAACTCTATGACCCCACTGATCCGGGAGCTAAGACTATGTGCAGAAAATGTCCTGAGTGTCCCGAAGGTCAAGGATTGACCCCACAGTGTGGTGGCAGGGTTCCAAACAACACCAAAATAGTATGTACACTATGCCAGGCAAATGTGTCATACTCCAACAGCCATGGCATAGAAAGTTGCAAGGCTTGCCATGAATGCGGTTTAAAGAATGTAATTCAGAACTGCACACCGGACAAAAATCGCAAATGTGGAACTAAGTGTCCCCAAGGTTACTTTCTTGATGACAATGATATCTGCCAGGAATGCTATTTTTGCTGCGACAGTGTCAATGACGCCCAAAGACGTCAAGGATGCATAGACATTGGAATGAGCAGGAATTGGCAGTGTGAAAAAACTGAGCAAAATCAGCGCTGTAAAGAAACCTTTGAAAAAGTGACAACTAAGCAAACTGACACAGAACCGGCTGTCCCTCCTAATCATAGTACCATAACTGAGAAACATGACATTGTTAAGTCTGTTAAAACCCATGGTCAAGTTAATGACAAATTTGCCACTACTTTGCCACATCAACCTGGCAGAAATCTTACTGGGTCACAAATTTTATCAGTTGATGGAAGTACACCTACAACAATTCGAGGGAGGACAAAATTGGCAGTGTTACCTGAAAATGATGATTCTGAAAATACAGCCCAATCACCAAAAAAAGACAAGGAACAAGAAGAACATGGAGCTGTAGATTTAAGA